GATCCAGAAAAGAAAAACTATACCGAAGAGAAAAAGAGTGGAATGGAGAGTCTATAATTAAACTCAATCACCTTTGAAAAGAGAAATTCTACCCTAGGTGTGAAAATGCCGGGAAAAGAAGTCCTAATAGATCAGTGTTAATTATAAGTAAGGCACTTAAAAGTGCTCATGGGAATCACAAAAGGCAGTCTTGAAAAGGCAGTGATGATCGAGAAAGAAATAAGAAAGGAAAGAGAAATTGGAATTGCACCATAAAGAGAAAGAAAAGCCAGATGGATAAATTCAGGATGCTACAAGATACATTACACACATACATACACCTCCTTCCCCTCCCCCTCACTACTTTCCAAATAAACCATCCATAAATAAACTATATGAAGTACATGATTCTTGAACTAGAAATCTCACAGGCCATATTCAGACTGCCAATTCTATTCAAGAAAGCAGAGGTATAATCAAAGTTATTATAAGAAGAAAATACAGATTGAGAATAAAAACATTCAGCTGATAAAAATAAATATAAAGAAAAAAAGGATAATAACACAAGATTCTAAATGAATTAAAGATCCTCAAACAAATATTTGAGTGCTACAGAAACAAATATTGAGCCAGAAATTAAAAACTAAAAACTAAAATGATTGAGAAGAAGGGATTTTGGAACTTAGAATTATGTTTTAATTCAGAAAAGTAATAGAAGAAAAAGACAAAGGTTAAACTAGAAATAAAAATTAAATTACAAATGCCCAGGGAAAACTGGCTATGACTAAAACTTAACTAGTATTTAAGAAAAAGAAAGTCAAGAGAATGAAAGTGAGCTTTAAAAAACATGAAAAGTCATTAAAAAAAGTAGTTAAAATAGTCAAAGAATGTATAACAAATATAAAATTAGAGTCCCTGAAGAAGGGAAATTTGAAAATAGAAAAGAACTTACATTAAAATTATACCTTCCACAAGTAAAAGAAGATCTCATCTAATGTTCCCAAACCATGTGTGAAGGTATGCCAGTATGCTGAGTGAATTCAGACATGATAAGAAATATTTTAAATTTTTTAGAAAAAATTATTTGACACCTATTGAAAATCATGATTCAACAATAGATAACACTATATTTCTTTCCATGACATTAAATTGTGAGGTTGAACTGCCAACAGCTATTGCCATAAGAAGTGAGTACAGCGTTGGATAGGCAGTATGCAATCTCATTCTAAGGCATGAGAAATTGTGCAGGGCTCAACAGGCTCACACATCCCTATAGTAGATCATTTGAGTTAGAAACAAAATAACATTTTCCTTCTTTTAATTGTTTTCAAGTGGCCATTAAGTTGTTAGGACATGAATACATCTAAGTTGTCCAAAACAGCACACTTAAAACTGTTCTATGTACGTTTCTTTTGGCCTAGGACCTCCATGAAAAATATTGCTCTGTTGCGGGGAGTGACACGTTGCGGGGAGCGCCGCGGTGGAGCACGGGGCACCTGGATCTGAGGGTTACTGTCCAGAGCCAGCTGAGGAGGGAGCAGGGCTCTGAATCCCGCAGGGCCCGTCCCAGGATTGTCACGGATGGGGGAATAAACACGGGTCATCGCCAACACTTCTCTGTTTGCCAGGAGAGGGGACATGGCTCTTCCCTCTAGGGGAGAGAAGGCTCCAAACCCCCATGTCCAAAGGCTTTTTATTGAGAACCATATGCACAGGGGTATAGATGCAAAGCTCATCAATGTCAAAAGGCTCTATTTACAGAAAACAAAGAGACAATTGAAGGACCACAAGAGATCTGCCTCAGGTCAGGGGTCTATGAATAATGTAAATCTCCTTCCCAGTATGAGACAGTTACCATTGCTTTGGAAAGAAGAACAAAGCATGCTTAGAGGAATTTACTTTTAGGCCTGATCATCCCCGGGAACCACCCAATCCAGTTTAGGGCTGTACGGCCTTTAGTATTGTTTCAAGCCTGAGCCAGGTGGGCGGGGCAGAGCCACCAAGAGATAAGGAGACTTCTTTCAACTGGAATGACAACTCTGGCCACGTCCAAGACGGGCCAAGGAGTGTGGGCCTTTTTGCCCTTTCTCCGTGTCCCCCAAGTCCTTGTCTTGCTGCCCATACCAGCCAATGTCTGACTTAGGTTGTCCCTCCTCTTGAGAGAACTTGCCTGTGATCAGCAACTGACCATCACAGGGCCAAGCAGGGTGACGCAAGGAGGGCTGGGGCTGTGCCTCTGCCAGGGGGACAGGTTTTGTCTCCTCAGTGGCTTGTTTTCCCAAGGCCTCCTTGATTATTTCCAGCCTTGGGGCCTTCTCACCTATTAGCGAGGCTACAGTCCCTGAAACCAGGTGGGGTGTTTCCCAACATTGCTGAGATTCTATGGGTACTATGAACTCAGAAAGTCTGGAACCTCTATTTTATTCTATATGTAGAAAGTACCTACCAGGTATTCAAGAAAATTAATCTTTAATGATTGCTTGGAGACATATCTTATTAAAACTATTAGGTTACAAAGATAAAAATAATCTTCAGGGTCTCAAAGAAACAGTCGAATAACTTACATTTTGACTGTTTGTTTGAAATGAAAAGCAACATTTCAAGCAAGGCAAAAACAGAATAGCATTTTCAAGAACTAAAGCAAAGAAAATATAAAATGTGTTCTTTATATGCTGCCAAGCTTTAAGTATCAAGACTATAGAAAACAAGCTTTCAATATGGAATAACTTACGGAATACAGTACATATGAGCTCTTGTTAAGCATTTTACAAGCAAGTCAGTATCACCTAACATTTTTTATGGAGGAACTTCAGTTTTAGGTATAAGAGAAAAAAAAAAAAACAGATAAAAACAAGGATATAAAAAAATATGTTCTAAAAAAGTTAAATTGTCCAAGTGAAACATGGCACAAAAAAGGAAAAAGAAGCTCAATGACAACTTTATAAGCAGTTAAGGTCAAATGATACAAATAAAAACTGACTAATTAGATAGCAAAATGTGAAATTAAAAAAAAGTCTAAAAACATTTCAAAAGGTATTTTAAGAAGAAAAACAATTACCAGAAAATACAAACCATTCTAATTATGAAAGGATATTTTAGAAATTAAAGAACAAGGAAAGCAAATTACAGAGAGGGGAAAAACAGTCAATAATACATAATACATATATAAATTAAAAATACACAGGGTGGGGGAAAAATAGGGTTACAGTTATTTGTATGAAAAATAATATAATAATTAATAAGTAATAATACAAGAATAAACTGTTTCATGTACTGACAACTGCGAATGTACTTTTGCCACACCCTGTATAATATTACAGAGTTGAGATAAAAATAGAACAGTCAATAAATTTGGATATGCTTACTAAACCAATGACAAGACAAAACTTTCAATATGACTCATATATAAAACCCAGCTACATGCTAAAGAAGCAGAGACATGCCAAAAACAAAATGATTCAGAAAGAATGAGCCACCTAAAGCAAATGGAACCATAAAGAAACAGGGGTTATGATCTTGCTATGAGATGAAGTATAACAGGCAAAAAGTATTAAATAGATTCTGTATATAAATGAAATCATAAGGTATGTGTCTTTCATTATGTTGTATACCTGAAACAAATCATTAAATACAAGAAAGAACTCTTTTTAAAACTAAATACCACAATTCATAATAAAAACAGCACATGCATGAATACTAATGCACCAATTAATACAGCAACCACTTTCATAAAGCAGAAATAAAAAGATAAGAAGGGATAAAAAAATTAAAAGAGACTTTAACACACCACTCTCAATACAAGACAAATTAAATGGACAAAAAACTAAGTAAAGATATAGCAACAAATACGGTATAATGAATAAGCTGCACAATCTGGACATATCAAACTTTTTATTCTCATGAGTTATAATATATACCATCATCTTAAGTGCATATGAAATACAAGTTTACCATATATTGGATGTACAGAAATCATGAGGAGGCTTCATAAAATAGAAGTATTAAAAACAATGGTTTCTGGCTAAAATTCAGTAAATCTAGAAATTAATCAAATAACAAACAGCCATTATTCCTGAATATTAAGAAAGTAAAAAACCTTCCACTAAAGAACTCTTAGGTGATAGGAAAAAAACAAATAGGACTTAAGCGACACAACAAAGTATAATGTTTGTTCCAAGTAAAATAACTTGTATAATTATTTCAGTTGTGAGCTAAATCAGCACTTATTTTATGGAACACGACTTTCCTTAAAAGAAAAATAGACAGATAAATTATAGCTATTCAGATCAAATATCTGGCAAGGTTTTTCTAGAAAATGTACAAAGTGAACATGGCAAGATTTGCTGCCAAAAACAAAGTACAAGTATTAGAAATCTTATATCTACCACCTTGAGCTTGACAAATTCCTAATAATTAAAGCCTTTGCAGATAAGATCAGTAGTAATGGTAGCAAATGTGATTTTTAAATATTTTCTAATGAAATGTGATAATGTCTGGAATATTTGCATAATTCAGTGAAACAATATATCCAATACATACCTAAGAAATTTTGCATGAGTAAAAGAAACCATTCAAACTGGAAGATACACTAATGAGTTTTGATGTAACATAGTACAAAAAGTACATTGAAATGGTTTCAGATTTCACATTACAAATAACATTAAGAAATTTCCACATGTCAAGTTATCGAGTAAAGGAGGATATCTACAATTCTCTAAACGTGTTACTAAAATATTCCTTTGTTTTTCAACTATATATCTGTATGAAGCTAGATATTTTCACATAATTTAACCAAGAAGGGTTGTAATAAGCTGAAACAACACATTGAAAATATTGCAGAAACATATACAAATAGTCACCTGTATTCTATTGAAGCCAGATGTCAGAGATTTACAAAAATGCACAATATCAATCTTGTCACTAACTTTGTAAAATTAAAAATTAAAAAAAATATTTTAAAAAATCTGTGCTAACATGTAATGGACTTACCATTATTATTTTTAAGTGGATTAATAAATACTGCTTGCTTCAGCAGAACATATTCTAAAATTGGAACGATACGGAGACGATTAGTGTGCCCCCTGTGCAAGGATGACATGAAAATTTGTGAGGTGTTCCGTATTTTTCATGAAAGACAAAACCACACAATCATATCAGTACATGCTGAAAAAGCATTTGATAAAGTACAGCACCATTTATGATAAAAACAGCAAAGTGGGAAGAGAGGGAGCATACCTCAACATAATAAAGGTCATATATGAGAAACCTATAGCCAACATCATACTCAATGGGCAAAAACTAAAAGGTTTTTCCCCAAGATCAAGCACAAAACAAGGGTGTCCACTTTCACCACTTCCATTCAACATAGTATTGGAAGCTCTAGCCACAGCGAATGGACAAGAAAAAGAAATAAAAGGTAGCCAAAATTGGAAAGGAGGAAGTAAAACTGTCACTGTTTGCAGACGACATGATAGTATGTGTAGAAAACCCTATAGACTCCACCAAAAAACTACTCAACCAAATAAATGAATTTGGCAAAAGGTGGGATACAAAGTCAATATTCAGAAATAAGAGGCAGTTTTATACACCAACAATAAAATATCAGAAGTAGAAATTAGGTGGAAAAAAATCCCATTTACTATAGCAACAAGAAAAATAAAGTACCTAGGAATAAATTTAACCAAGGAGGTAAAACACTTGTACACAGAAAACTACAGAACACTGAAGAAAGAAATTAATGAAGATACAAATAAATGGAAACATATACCATGCTCATGGACTGGAAGAACTGACATCATTAAAATGACCATACTCCCGAAAGCAATCTATAGATTCAATGCAATCCCTATCAAAATACTAATGACATATTTCACAGATATTTAACAAATACTTCAAAAATTTATATGGAACCATAAGTGACCCTGAGTAGCCTCAGCAATTTTGAGAAAGAAGAACAAAGTAGGAGGGATCATAATACCTGATATCAAACTATATTACAAGGCCACTCTAATCAAAACTGTCTGGTACGGGCATAAAAACAGACACATAGACCAATGGAACAGAATAGAGAGCCCAGAAATAAGCCCACATCTCTATGGTCAATTAATATTTGACAAAGGGGGCAGGAGCATGAAATGGAGTAAAAATAGCCTTTTCAGTAAATGGTGTTGGGAGATCCAGACAAGTGCATACAAAAAAAAAAGAAACTAGGCCACCAAACCAAAATAAACTCAAGTTGGATAAAAGACTTAAATATAAGTTGTGACGCCACAAAAGTCCTAGACGAGAACACAGGCAGGAAAATTTCAGATATCCCACACAGCAATAATTTCACTGATACATACCCTCAGGCAAGGGATATAAAGGAAAGAATAAACAAATGGGACTACATCAAATTAAAAAGCTTCTGCACAGCTAAAGAAAACAACAAAATGAAATGGGAACCAACTATATGGGAAAACATAATTGCCAATGATAGCTTGGACAAGGGTTGGATCTCCAAAATATATAAAAAATTTATACAACTCCACATTTTTTATACAAAAAATCCAATTAAAAAATGGGCAAAGGATCTGAACAGACACTTCTCCAAGAATAGAGAGGGCCCAAAGACAAAGGAAGAAATGCTCAATATCATTACCCATCAGAGAGATGCAAATTAAAACCACAATGAGATGCCACTTTGCATGGGTCAGAATGCCTATCATTAACAAATCAACAAACAACAAGTGCTGATGAGGATGTAGAGAAAAGGGAGCCCTAATATACTGTTGGTGGAAATGCAGGCTGCTACAGTCACTGTGGAAAACAGTATGGAATTTCCTCGAAAAACTAAAGATGGTCTGCTTTTTGGTCCAGTGATCCCACGGCTGGGATTATACCCTAACAATCCTAAAACACCAATTCAAAAGAACCTATGCACCCCATTGTTCATAGCAGTGCAATTTACAATAGCCAAGCGCTGGAAACAGCACAAGTGCCCATCAGTAAATGAGTGGATCAAAAAACGGTGGTACATTTACACAATGGAATACTACACAACAGAAAGAAAGAAGGAAATCCTACCCTTCATGACAGCATGGATGGAATTGGAGAGTATTATGCTAAGTGAAATAAGCAGGCAGAGAAAGACAGTACCATTTGATCTCACCTATAAGTGGAACCTAATCAACAAAACAAACAAATGAGCAAAATAGAACCAAAGACCTGGAAATGAAAAGCAAACTGACAGTGACCAGACAGGAGATGGGAGAGGTATAATGGGGGAAAGAAAGGAAGGGGCAAGTCAAGGAACATGAATAGAGGACTCATGGGTATAGACAATGGAGAGGGGATTGACTGTGGGAATGAGGGGAAGGGGCAGAGGAGAGCAATGTGGGGAAAAAGTGGGACAACTGTAACTGAACAATAATAAAAAAATAGTTGTAATTTTCTGAGTCTAAATTCTAATAAAGTAAAAACTAACAGATATAATATATATAACCAAAAAGTCTTATGGATACTCAAAAATATACAACAAAGGATTGTAAGAAAATATTATGAATACCAGTATGGCAACATATACGACAATATGGATGAAATGGATAAAATCCTATAAATGTATAATCTTCCAAAACTGAATCAGGAAGAATCAGAAAATCTGAATAAATGAATTACAACTAATGAAACTGAAGCAGTAATAAAAAAGCTGCCAACAAACAAAAGTCCTGGATCGGGTAGCTTCACAGGTGAATTTTACCAAACATTCTAAGAAGAAATAACTCCTCTCCTTCTGAAACTATTGCAAAAAGTCCAAGGAAAGAAAAGACTCCTGAGCTCATTTTATGAGGTAAGCATCATCCTAATTCCAAAACCAGATGAGGATACTACAAAGAAAGAAAATTATAGGCCAACATCCCTAATGAACACAGACACTAAACTCCTCAATAAAACATTAGCAAACCAGATTCAGCAATACATTAAAAAGATAATACACCATGATCAAGTGGGATTTATTCTGGGGATGCAAAGTTAACACATTATCCACAAATCAACAAATGTGATATACCACATACACAAAATAGAGATTAAAAAATCACATGATGATATCAATAGATACAGAAAAAGCATTATTTTAAAGTCCAGCATCCATTTATAATAAGAACTCTCAGCAAAGTGGTAGAGAATAACATCAACATAATAAAGGCCATGTGTGAAAAACCTACAGTCAACATCATACTCAATGGGCAAAAACTAAAAGTGTTTCCCTTAAGATCAGAAACAAGACAGGGATGTCTGCTTTTACCACTCTTATTCAACTTATTCCTGGAAGTCCTAACCACAGCAATCAGACAAGAAGAAGAAATAAAAGGGATCCAAATTGGGAAGAAAGAAATAAAACTGCTATTATTTGCAAATGGCATGACACTGCATATATAGAAATTGATAGATTCCACCAAAAAGCTAGTAGGATTGATACATGAATTCAGTAAAGTAGCAGGATACAAACAGATACCCAGGAATCAGTTGCATTTTTATGCACCAATAATTAACTATCAGAAATGGAAACTAAGAAAACAATTCCATTTACAATTGCATATTTAAAATATCTAGGAATACATATAACCAATGATATAAAATAATATACTCAGAAAATTATAGTCACCGAAGAAAGAAATTGAAGAAGATATAAATAAATGGAAGCATATACCATGTTCATGGATAGGAAGAATTAACATTATTAACATGTCCATACTACCCAAATTATCTATAGATTCAATGCAATTCCTATCAAAATACCAACAGGGCATTTCACAGGACTAGACCAAATATTCCAAAAATTTATGTGGAACCAGAAAAGAATCTGAATACCTGCAGCACTCTTGAGAAAGAAGAACAAAGTTGGAGGAATTGTGCAACTTGTTATCAAACTATATTACAAGGCCATAATAATAAAAACTGCATGGTATTGGCATAACAAAGTTTTTGTACAGCAAAGACACCATCAACAAAATGAAAAGGTAACCCACTGAATGGGAGAACATATTCACCAATGATGTAACTGATAAGGAGTTAACATCTAAAATTCATAAAGAACTTACACAACTCAACAACAAATAATCCAATTTAAAAATGGGCAAAAACCTGATTAGGCACTTCTTCAAAGAGGACAAACGGCCAATAGACATATGAAAAAATGCTCAACTTTAATAATCATCAGAGAAATGCAAATTAAAACTACAATGAGATATTATCTCACACCTGTCAGAAAAGCTATCATCAATAAATGGACAAAAAAGTGTTGGTGAGGATGCAGAGAAAAGGGAACCCTTCTATACTGTTGGTGGGAATGTAGATTGTTGCAGCCTCTATTGAAAATAGTATGAAGTTTCCTCAAAAAGTCAAAAATGGGCCCTGGCTGGTATGGCTCAGTTGGTTGAAGCGTCATCCCATACTTGAAAAGTTGCCGGTTCAATTCCCAGTCAGAGCACATATCTAGGTTACAGGTTTGATCCCCAGTCTGGGTGTGTACAATTCCCAGTCCAGGCACATATGGGAGGCAACAAGTCAATGCTCTCTTGCATCAGTGTTTCTCTCTCCCTTCCTCACTTCCTTTCTCTCTCTCTCTAAAAAAACAATGAACTACTCAGCCATAATAAAGAAGGATATCTTACCTTTTGCAACAATATGGATGGACCTGCAGAGCATTATGCTAAGTGAAATAAGCCAGTCAGAGAAAGACAAATTCCATATGATTTCACTTACATGTGGAATCTAATGAACAAAATAAGCAAACAAAATAGAAACAGAGTCAGAAATAAAAAGAAGAGACTAACTGCTGGTAGCGGAAAGGGGTTTGGGGAGCTGGGTGAAAAAAGTGAAGGAAGTAAGCAAAAAAAAAACAAAACCCTCATAGAGATACGACAGTATGGTGATTACCAGAGGAAAAGAGGGTGAATGGGAAATAGAAGAGGGTAAAGTGGGGATAAATGGTGACAGGAAGAGACTTGACTTTGGGTGGTGAACAGACAACATGATACAGATGATGTATTACAGAATTCCATCCCTGAAACCTATAGAATTTTATTGACCAATGTCACCTCCAATAAAGTCAATAAAATTCAAAAAATAAAAATAAAATTAAGAA